TCGTCGTCGTCGTCTCTGGGACCATACCATCTGGGGGGGGGGCCAGAGGAATCCTGGGACCATACCATCTGGGGGGGGGGGGGGCCCGTGGGCCCAGAGCCCGGGACCATGTATGCCCTTCGTGGCCCCCGCTCGTTCGCGCCCGTCGTGGCCCCATAGGAGGCATGCCCTTCGTGGCCCCGCTGTCGCCCTTTGTGGCCCCCTCGCTGCCCTTCGTGGCCCCGTTGCTGCCCTCAGTGGCCCCGTCTTTGCCCCCCGCGGCCCAATATATGTGTATGTCCTTCGTGGCCCCCGCTCGTTCGCGCCCGTCGTGGCCCCATGTGCATGCCCTTCGTGGCCCCGCTGTCGCCCTTCGTGGCCCCCTCGCATTCCTACGTTGCCCAGTTGCTACCTTCAGTGGCCCCGTCGTTGCCTTCGGTGGCCCCGCATTATCTGCCCTTCGTGGCCCCCGCTCGTTCGCGCTCTTCGTGGCCCCATACGCATTCCCTTCGTGTCCCCGCTGTCGCCCTTTGTGGCCTATTTCGTGACCTTGGTGGCCCCGCTGTCGTTCTCTCTCGCTCTCGCTTTCGCTCGTCGTCGTCGTCGTCGTCGTCGTCGTCGTGGTCGGTCCCCTGTCCGTCCCTCTTGGGGTCGGGTTGCCGCCGATCAGCGCTGCCGCTCGCCAGGCCGACGGTCCGCGGCCGCCCCGCCGCTTGCCGGGGCCCGGCCTGCAGGGAAGAAATGTTTACCCCCCAAAAGGGGTACGATCGAAGACGAAGAGGGCGGGTATCGAGGGTTTGGGAAATACGCTTCAACGGACACTCGAGCAGATAAGAGCGAACAGTCTTCAAATGATTGTTGCTGTTGTCGTCGTCGTTGTTGTCGTCGTCGTTGTTGTTGTTGTTGTTGTTGAACATTATTACTTCTAAAGAATAATTATTGTTGGGGCCCCTGGTGCGCGCCCCCCCCGCCGCGCCTAGGCCGCAGCCACATTTTCATCATTTTCGTGAGGAAGCCTCAGGTAAAACGATGTGATCCAGATCCGGTTGTTTTGTTGACGCCCGCTTTCCCTTGCAAAAAACACTATAAAATGACATTTCTTGTTCTAACATAATCAAACTTCAAGAATCCCTTGCAAAAAATAAGGTAAAGTGGACATTCGCGCGCGCAAGACGAAATCCTTCCAAAACCTTAGTGTTCGTAGCGATTTTAACATAAAAACATCAAAAAACCAATGGTTTTTCAACAAAAAAATGTCAAAATCTCATCCCGCGCGCTCTTGCGGATTCGTAGGAAACCCAACACTTTTTAAACATTTCTGTCAAACGGGCTTTTGCGAGCAACTTTTCGAACTTCTGCAACAACGGTTGCGCACCTGCCAGGGCCATCATCCCTGTCAAATAATACCATGCGGGACACATTCGTTTTTTCTTCGCGCGCGCACGCCGTCGTCGTCGGCCGCGGGGCCCTGAATAGTAGCCACGGTCGTCCGCATGCCACGAAGTGAAGTGTCCGAACGTCATAGGGCGGGAAGCTGGGTGTGGGTGGTGGCGAAGAGTCGTTTGGAAATTTGGTAGAGCTTGAACCGGCCCCCCCACAAAGTGGGGGTATTGCCCGCCTCCTATGAAAACCCTGGCACTGGTGAGAACGGAGTGTCCCCACGTGCTAGTAATTGTTGTTGTTGTTGTTGTTGTTGTTGTTGTTGTTGTTGTTGTTGTTGTTGTTGTTGTTGGGGGGCCTGTTTTGGCGCCCCCCCAACCCGCTCGAGGGTGAGCTCATTTTCAATGAAAATATAGCCAGCGCCGAGGCGAGAGCGCCAAAGCGCTTGGGGGGATCCAACAACAATAATTGTTGAGTAAATGACACTCAACAACACCACCAACGACAACATCAACATTAACAACAGCACCGCCAACAACAACGACAACAACGACGACGACGACAACGACAACACCAACGACAACACCAACAGCAACAACAACATCAACGCAACAAATCTCAGTTCAGCCAGGCACCCAGGGACAGTGAATGACCGTTCGGCCCTTCACTGTGATATATTCGTGTGTATATGTTCACATACATATATATATATATACATACATATATATATATATATATAACAGATCAAAGCAGACACGCCACTTCACATATCAGCATGCACCTGTATACGCACGCGCAACCTGTCGTGCATGTGCATTACTACACGCATTCTTCGCTGCCTCTCTGCACTGCGGTCGATGCGCAGCCGACGGCCTCGACGGGCTCTGCAGGCCGCCCACGTGCTCGCGCGCGCGCCCGCGCCAGCGAAGGACCGCTCGACCTCGCCCTACGTGAGCGCCTGGCCTGCTGCACCGCCCAGCCGCGCTGTGCGCCCGGCCACGGGGGGGGGGGTCCTCCTCCTCCTCCTCTCCTCCTCCTCCTCCTTCCTCCTTTCTCTCCTCCTCTCCTCCTCCTCCTTCCTCCTCCTCCTCTCCTCCTCCTTCCTCCTCCCTTTCCCCCTCTCCTCCTCGTCCTCCTCATTCTCCTCCTCCTCCTTCTCCTCTTCCTCCTCTCCTCCCTCTCCTCCTCCTCCTCCTCCTCCTCCTCCTCCTCCTCCTCCTGCTCCTCCTCCTCCTCCTCCTTCTCCTCCTCCTCTTCCTTCTCCTCCTCCTGTTAAAGCTCACGTTCTGCATTTTTTAGCGGAAGCCATCATAAAGAGATTCGAGAGCCGCCTTGTTCTTAGAGCTCATCTCCGACGAGGTGATTGTCCCAACCGGCGGGATCTTTCAGAGCTCGGCCCTCGCGGGAGAGCCGTGTTCGGGCGCAGGTCCCGTCAGAAATGAGCCCAGCACGCGAGATGGCCCCAGGCGAGATGTTGTGGAGCCGCGGATTGAGAAATCAGGTCGCCAGATGCCAGGGACATCCGCTCCTTCGCAATGGGGGAAGCGGGTCTTGAGGGAAACGGGTCCTGAGGTTTTTCTCCGGTTTTCCGGCTCGAGGGTTTTCACGTGTCGGGCCCTGGGAGACACTGTTTCGACACTCTTTCGACACTCTTTCGATACTCTTCCGCGAGCTCGAAATTATTTCTGGGATGTGGTCTTTAAGTACGATGGGCGCAACATAACTCTTGGGCCTTCTGCGGGGGGATGGGGCTTGTCGCCGCGGCTGGAGTCGCTTTGGGATCGTGGCAAGGGCGAACCCCGGGCGAAGCTTGGGGGGGGGTGGCGGTATAAACAGAGGGAGGGGGCCGAACGGTCATTTACCGTCCCTGGGCGCGTGGTTGAAGTGGGGGTCCCGCGGTGCGGATCGAGATTTCATTCTTGAGGAATAATTATTACTGGTCCCCCCTCCGGTGCACATTGCGTTATTCAATTAAAGTGCCCCCCTCGGGGCCCGCACCATGATTTAATTACCCCAGTGCGACCCTACCTAGAAGTTGGAGCCCCTAGGAAAGCAGCATTAGTTGCTATGCTATGCTATGCTATGCCATGCTATGCTGCGCTATGCTATGCTATGCTATGCTATGCTATGCTATGCTATGCTATGCTATGCTGCGCTATGCTATGCTATGTTATGTTATGCGATGATATGTCATGCTGCGCTGTGCTATGCTAAACTATGCTACGCATGCTATGCTAAACTGCGCTATGCAATGCTATGCTGTGCTATGCTATGCTATGCTATGCTATGCTATGCGGCGCTATGCTGTGCTATGCTATGTTATGCTATGCTACGCTATGCTATGCTATGCTATGCTATGCTGCGCTATGCTATGCTATGCTATGTTATGCGATGATATGTCATGCTGCGCTGTGCTATGCTAAGCTATGCTACGCATGCTGTGCTAAACTGCGCTATGCGATGCTATGATGTGCTATGCTATGCTATGCTATGCTGCGCTATGCTGTGCTATGCTATGATATGCTATGCTATGATATGGTATGCTACACGTGGCTATGTTATGCTATGATATGCTATGATAATGCAGCGCTGCGCTATGCTAAGCTAAGCTAAGCTATGCTAAGCTTAGATAAATATGGGCTAAGATGAAGCTAAACTAAGCTCAGATGAAATAAGCTAAGCTAAGATGAGATAAGCAACGCTAAGCTAAGGGGACGTAACTGGGGGAACCGTGGGGCGGATACTGGGGGAACCGCCCAGGGCGCTTTCCACTGCCCGGCCCCTTTAAGCCCAGAGAATAAGAACCCTTCTAGGCAGAGCCTAGGTAGGGAATCAGGGGAAGTTTTCCTGCTCAAACTGCGCTGTTGGGCCTCGAGCTGCAACAACAACAGCGCCCGCCTGATACCTCCTCACAGTTTTTTGCAAAATCGCGCTCTCGCACGCGACTTCCTTAGCATGTATGCAGGAATCGCGCTCTCACGTGGGACCTCCTCGCAAATTATTCAGACGCCGCACCTTCGACACTCAGGAATGACGCTTTCGCTATCGTTCGAGACTTCCTTGTGATTCATGCAGGGCTCACGCTTCAGCAACCCGTCTGCTCGACCTGGCCGCCTGGACTCGCCTTCCCGACCCGCCCTCTAGGGTCTGCCCGCCCGATGTGCTCGTCTGGTTCTGCCATGTTTTTTGTTTCTGCTCCAAGCCCCTATCCTTCGAATCTCTATCGTGTTCTATCCTTCTTCCTCCCCCTTTCATCCGTCCTTTCATTCCTTATCTTACGGGCTGCACGACATGCGCGTGGCAGGTAAGGAAGATATATCCCCAAGGGGTTACGATCGAATTTGGAGGAGGAAGAGGAGAAGGAGGAGGAGAAGGAGGAGAAGGAGGAGTAGGAGGAGGACGAGGAGGATCGAGGAGGAGGAGGAGCATTGATGACCGAGGATCGAGGAGGATCAAGGAGGAGAACTACCAGGATTACCAGGATCACAAGAGCGACTAAACCAGACTGTGAGCTCAGGCAGTTTTGGGAACTCAGTCGCGAGAGATACGATCTAATTACTCCCGACGCGTCTTAGATATGGATTCCACACGTGGCTCTCCGAGGCCCCTGAGTTGGGCCGCATCCGTAATTCTCCATTTTTGTTCAAGCTGTTGCATCTCATCCCCGGCGTAGTTCTTCAGCTTTCTTGCCCCATCGGAGCACCTCAGTTTCTTGTAGCCCGCCATGCGTTTCTCCGTGGGTTCGGCCCACGTCGGCATTGCGCTCGTGACGCTCGGCAGTTTCGTCTGGCAGTTCATCCGCTTCCACCCGCACCGCCTGGGCCCCGACGCCGCGGGCAGCCAAGGCACGGGCGAAGATCTGAGAAGCCCACGACGCGCGGGCAGGCGTACGCCGCGATCTCGTAGACCCTCGGCGCCTGCATGGCCTTCGGGCTGGCGCACTGGTCGACGGGCGTGCTCCAGGACTCGAGGAAGAGAAGCCGGCAGAAGCACCGTCTCTCGGAGTTCCGCGCGGAGAAGGGGGGGGGTCGGCGCACCTCCGAGGAAGTATGCTCATGCTGGTTGTTGCGCTTCCAAGGACGAGACCTTGACCTTCAGCAGCCAGGCCGCGATTGACCGCGCGGGCGCGATCGAGTTCATGTGCATCATGTCGGGGCTGCTCTCCTCTCTCTTTAGGTACACCCTGCTCACCCGCCCTGGCGGTAGGGCCCTCGCCTGCGAGTACCACGAGGTCCTGGGACTGAAGGACGGCGTTCCCTCCGTGCCAATCCTTCTGGTTGGAGCAGTCCAATTCCTGGCCCTCAGCGTGCAGCGCCACGTCCTCGAGCAAGACCTGACTGATGGGGGTCCTCTGCTGACCATTGTGAGCAGCGACGCGGTCGTCATCAGCATATACTTCTACCTGTTCGCGGGGGAGGTGGTGAGCCGTTCTGGAGTGTTCGGCATTGTCCTTGGCCTGGTCGGGAATGTTGTCTCCTCCTCGGCCGTAGCGGCGTTGTCGATCGAACCTGTAGCAATGGCCTTGAGTCTTGTCAACATGCTGTTGTTTGCCACGGCGGCCATCTTGATGCGTCTCGGATCCAAAGGTACCTCAGCCGCCGCCAGTTTCGTGATCCGGTGTCAGACGTTGTCTCTTGCAGCCGTGTTGGGCAGTGTCGTACGTGGTGGTATGAATGGCAAGACAGGTATGTCATGTTTTGCTGTGCTCGGTTGTTTGGCTCTGCTACATGATGTTGGTACCTTTTGCATTGCGAAAGCTTTGGCATATCCTTTGGCAGGATTGTGTTCTGCTATCTGGGGGTCAAATGCTGTAGTGGTGATTCTTCTGAACAACACTGCCTTGCACAGGTTCCCGAATGACGTTGCGTTGAGCGGACTGTGCCGTACCGTCGCGGGGATCTTCGTGTGTTCGACGTGCAGCCGCGAGCCAGGGGCCGTCCCAATAAAGCAGAGCGGCGACGACGAGGTCGGGGGCAACGTCGCACTGGCAGACGCGATCGGCCGGGGGGCCGATGCAGATGTTGGGTGTCCTGCGCAGTCGGAGTTGAGGGCGTTCCCGCAGCAGGTGTCCATGCGGCGGAATTCTTGGAGCCGCTCCGATGTCTGAGACGCTGCAGATAGGGGGGGGGCGGGAGAAGGATGAGGAGGAGAAAGAGGAGGAGGAGGAGGAGGAGGAGGAGGAGGAGGAGGAGGAGAAGAGAGGAGCAGTTGGGTGGGGGGTCGTGGAGGTTGGGCGGTCGCCCTTGCATCCAACTTTTGTACAACATTATGTATTAGAACCATGATACTATTAATAGAATCCCTTCTGCTCGCACGGCCATCGCGGCCCCCATTGGTAGGCTCCTCAGCGATCCTCGTTGTTCCTCCTGCTCCATCGTTCTCTCAAAAGCCTGCCACTCGACCCCTCCGCAAGGCAGCTCACTGCCGAGACAAAGTCTTTGAATTCGAAAGCTTGGGCGGTTGCGTGATGGCCAGCCGACTTCCCGCAACCTTCGCGTCGAAAGCGCGCAGAGCCAGGACGTTGCGCCGGCCAAGGGCCAGCCAGGGCCAGCCGGACATGCCTCTTTTTTCTCGTCCCTCGCGCCTGCGCCCTCCCTCATCCCCTCCTGCTCCTCCTCATCCTCCTCCTCCTCCTCCTCCTCCTCCTCCTCCTCCTCATTGTCCTCCTCCTCATTCTCCTTCTCCTCCTCCTCCGCCTCTCGGCTCCTCGAAACGTCTTGTCCTCCTCCTCCTTCTCCGCCTCTTGGCTCTCCTCCCCGAACCCCGCAGAGGTGCGCAGCGCCATGCGAGTTCAAGGGTGAGCGCGACGTGCAGCGAGACCGTCAGGACTCCTCCTCCTCCTCCTCCTCCTCCTCCTCCTCCTCTCTCCTCCTCCTCCTCCTCCTCCTCCTCCTCCTCCTCCCTCCTCCTCCTCCTCCTCCTCCTCCTCCTCCTCCTCCTCCTCCTCCTCCTCCTCCTCCTCCTCCTCCTCCTCCTCCTCCTCCTCCTCCTCCTCCTCCTCCTCCTCCTCCCCTCCTCCTCCTCCTCTTCCTCCTCCCCCTCCTCCTCCTCCTCCTCCTCCTCCTCCTCCTCCTCCTCCTCCTCCTTCCCCTGGCAGACAACACGGGGTGGCGCAGCCCGCTGGCCGAGGCTGCCGCCCCGCGGTGTGCCCTCCTGAGAGCCGCCTGCTGCCCACTGCGCGTGCGCGCGCCGTGCGCCCACGAGGGGGCAGCCCGAGCGCAACCCGAGCGCCAGGGGCTGACGGGTCTGAGGCCCTCGCCCCGCACGATTTTTATAACCAGCTAAGAGGGGGCATCCCGAGCGCAACCCGACCGCCAGGGGCCGACGGGTCGGAGGCCCTCGCCCCCACACGATGTATTATTGTGGTGATTGCTGTTGTTATCATTATTATTGCTATTGTTTTCATAATAATTATTCTTAATATATATATATATATATGTATATATATGTATATATATAGAAAGAGAGAGAGAGAGAGAGAGAGAGAAAGAGAGAAAACAAAACAACGGCTAGGCATGCGGTGTTTCGCCGTGTGGGACCATGCAGCGCATGGCGTCGCGCCCTGCTTCCCGTTCTGTACCACGATGGTTCGCCACATCTGCCTTGCCTCGTCTTGTTTGTGCATGCGTGCCAGAGCTAGCACACCAGAGGATGTGTGAATTGAGCGCGCCCGAGCGTGAAGCACGCGTACGAGCAAGTTCGAGTTCGGAGGCCGTCCCCGCTTTGTGAGAGCCTCGTTCGGGCCTGAGTTGCCCGGTGCTCGTGAGGACACGCCTGGGCGGACAAATCCACGCCCCCCCTGTCACACAGCAGGGTAGGATAGCAGTAGCATGTAGAACGTCCAGTGGCGCATGCGCGCGCGCATACGTAGAGAGCGGCGCAGGCACGATAACTTGCACCGTGCACCCTAGGTCAGCAACCCCGATAAGTGGGATAGCAGCCTCAGGCCAACTTTGACGCATCCCGGGTCTACAACGCTGCAACAATACTGCAATACACCTTTTCGTCCCGTGTTCCCTCTTCACGGATGCCTACAAGCATTCCCTGTAAGCATCTAGTCAAACAAGTCTAGGAGGAATTCTCCAGCGAGAGCAGTTTCACACGTGATGGGCCGAGAGGCTCATGCTAGCCTGCTTTGGGCCACACTTCCTGAGAATTCGAGTGCATGGCCTCTTGAGGTGGATATGTTTTGGACCTCCTGAGGCCAGCAGCCAGGCATCGGGGGACCTGCTCTCCCTTTGTCCGCCGTCGTTAGGGCGTGCTGGCTGCTCTGGGCGGTGCCCGCGCGGTTCCTTGCCTGAGCGAATTCGGGAGCGGAGCCGAAGAAAACCCCGCCCGCCAGGGCGAGGAGCGTAAGCGAAGCAGCATTCCGGCAGCGCCGTCAAAAACCGCACTTCTTCGTCGACGTCCTCATCTCCATACTCTCCCCATTCCCTTTCACTCTGCAACGTCTGCGACGGAAGCTTCGAGTCTGCAGTGCGGTCCAATCCAACGCCGAACCCCCGCAGACCGCCCATGGTAATCCAGGTATCGTCGACTTGCCACTGGCGCTCCGGGGGAGCGGCCCCGGTCCTGACCAGCCAGGCGTCCGGGATCATATCACCAGAGTTATGAGCCCAGGCCGCACGATGCTACCTGCCACGAGTCGGGCGATACTGCACGGCTTTACCATGACGTGCCAGGTGTGCCAACACCCAGCGACCGAGCCAGCCACGTGCTCGAAGTGCGGGAAGCTCGGGCACGTCCACCGCCCGTGGCTGGAACTCTTCCTGGAGTTCCCGCTCTGCGGCGACTGCATCTTCGACGTCATCAAAGAATATTCCGATTGCTCTACCCAGGTGCGGCGCCAGGATCGGGGGCGGCATAGAGGGGGGTGATGACTGGGGGGGGGGGGGATATCATGGCGTGGGCCATGATATTTCTTAGATCTCATGGCGCCTCTTCTTGTTTCAATGCGTTCCCTGGCCCCCCCCTGGGGATGCCGCCAGCCATGATTTGCACCCCCCCCTCTTGGGCACCCCCTTCTTGGCCGTCCCCGACAGGACTGGCAGAAGAGCTCTACATCCACCAGCTGGCCCCGTGGAGAGACCGAGCCACGGCGGCCCTGGGCGCAGCCGCAGCGGTCGGCACAGCGATCGGTGGAGCAGCAGCCCTTGTCGTGGGCAGCACGGTCCACCTGGCGAAAGGCATGGTTGCGGGAGCTGTGAACAGTAAGGCGGGCTTGTCCCTCTACGGAAGGGGATACTCCAAAATAGTCAAGAAATAGTCAGCGGACGATTTTGGGATGCTTTTGTTTCCATTCGGGGGCATGTTTTTGGGTATTTTTCATTTGTTGCTCAAAATCCCCCTGTGGGGGACAGGCCCGACCTAACATGAACACCACCGCACCTGACCACACTCCAGCTCTTTGTGACCAGCCCGCACAGCCAACACTGCCAGCACCTCCACCAGCACACCCTGAACCGGGACCATCCAGACAACGGGCCAGCTCTGTAGGCAGGACGCCGGCTGGTGGCGGACATTGCTTGGCCTGCCACACGGCCAACCCCGGCCGCACTGCCCACCTACGGAGGGGCGATTGTGTGGGATTCCTTGTGATGTCTGATTTTGGCAGGAAGGCCCGCTCGGGCGCCTCAGCTCTAAGTCGGACGCCGGCTGCGGGATTGGCACCCGCACCGGCCCCAGCGGGATCGGGGCCCGCACCAGCCGCATCGGGATCGGCACCCGCACTTGCCCCAGCGGGATCGGTACCCGCACTTATTGGACATCAGAAGGATAACGGTGTAGAGGGGCAACTGGGAGTCACCAGCGGCGCATCTTTCGTGAGCGTCGAGGAGGCCCAACCTGCCTCACCAGCTGGGGCTGGCCAGCCGCAGCACCTAGTACAATCTAATCCATTGGGTCCCGCCGGCTCCACTGGCATGCCCGTGGCGGTTGTAGAATGTCGTTTAGATCGTCATCTTGATCATCATGATCGCGCTGAGCATCCTGATCCTGCATCGCTGTCTCACACAGACAACTTGCTACGGACGCCCATTGACAATATCGGGAAATTGGAACTTGCAGTGTCTTACTTGGACCATGCGCAGGCGAATGCGCAGGCCCGAACCGACAGCATCGTGTCGATGGTGGACCTCGTCGAGGCGGCGGTGAACAGCTGGAACCGAAATCGGCGCCCCAACAACACCAATAACAACAATCATTTTAAGACTGTTCGCCCTTATCTGCTCGAGTGTCGAATAACGCGAATTTCCCAAAGCCTCGATACCCGCCCTTTTCGTCTTCGATCGAACCCCTTTTGGGGGGCATACCTTTCTTCCCTGCAGGCCGGGCCCCGGCAAACGGCGGGGCGGCCGCGGACCGTCGGCCTGGCCAGCGGCAGCGCTGATCGGCGGGGCGGCCGCGGACCGTCGACCCGACTCCAAGAGGGACGGACAGGGGACCGACCACGACGACGACGACGACGCCGACGACGACGGCAACGACGGCGACGGCGACGACGACGACGACGAGCGAACGCGAGAGCGAGAGAGAACGACAGCAAAGCCACGAAGGACACGAAGTAGGCCACGAAGGGCGACAGCGGGGACACGAAGGGAATGCGTATGGGGCCACGAAGAGCGCGAACGAGCGTGGGCCACGAAGGGCAGATAATGCGGGGCCACAGAAGGCAACGATGGGGCCACTGAGGGTAGCACCTGGGCCACGTAGGACAATGAGGGGGCCACAAACGGCGACAGCGGGGCCACGAAGGGCATGCACATGGGGCCACAACGGGCGCGAACGAGCGGGGGCCATGAAGGGCATACGTATGTTGGGCCGCGGAGGGTACGGACGGGACGAAGGGCTGCAACGGGGCCACGAAACAAAACGAGGGGGCCACAAAGGGCTGCAACGGGGCCACGAAAGGCAACGAGGAGGCCACGAGGGGCTGCAACGGGGTCACGAAACAAAGCGAGGGGGCCACGAAGGACTGCAACGGGGCCACGCGACAAAGCGAGGGGGCCACGAAGGGCTGCAACGGGGCCACGAAGGGCAGCGAGATCCCGATTCCTAGGTAATGTGCGAAGGAGTCCTAAGCGTGAGCGCGACTCCTGGGTGCCTGGGTGTCGGGATCGCGGCGCTGG